GGCGGCTTGGGTGAAGCCGCAAGGGGGGGACAAAGGTGGGGCCCAGGTGTGGCTGTGCCCGTCCCTCACCTGCCCCTGGCCACACCCCTTGCTGGAGACTCATTACGGGCGTTGAGTGCCGTCCTAGCTGGGGGCAGAGGGTGTGTGGCAAAGGCCTTCGCTGCGCTTTGCTCCCCTGAATGTCCCCCTGGATTAAGCTGCCCCCACAGGGTCGACAGGCTGTGACAGGCTCAGACGTGCCCGGGAACTGAAGCCACGCCTCCCAAGTCCTAACCACTAGGCCGCCCTTCCTCTTGGGCCTAGCCTGCTGGGGTCTGCATGCCAAGGCGGTGTGGGGCGCAGAGTCCACAGACCATGTGACTCGCCCTGTTCCCAGAGAGCCGAGTGAGAGCTTTGCTGGTGTCCTCCGGCCCTCCCCTACTGGCTCCGGGGTGGGGGGGGCGGCACCGCTCCGGGCGAGCTGCAGGTGGCGGGAGAGGAGCGGCTCTGTGGGACCAAGCTCTCCGAGCAGATTGGCACCGCGGACGGGGGCTGCTGCCAACGCGGGGCGGCAGCCAGCCAGCCAGTCTGTGCGGGGAGCTGGTTTTTAAACTGGCTTCCTTTGCGGACCAGCTCTTCCTGCCTCCCTGTGCTGCTGCCTCTGATGCAGAGGCAGCAGCGTGGGTGGCAGAGGGCTCCCCGGGCGTGGGGCCGGAGTGCCCTGGCTGTCCCGGGGACTATCGAATACTTGTGTGACCGCTGAGATTTCACGCGGTTACACGCCTGTTCAGTTGCATGATATCTGACACCCCTAGGAGGGACAGGAGAGGGGATAAGATCCCTCACTTATACGCCCCGCCCCACCCCATCTCTACCCAGGGCTGTGGGGCTTGGTGAACAACGCCGGCATCTCCCTTCCCGTGGCCCCCAACGAGTGGCTGACCAAGGACGACTTCCTCACGGTGCTGAACGGGAACCTGCTCGGCCTCATCGAGGGGACCCTCAGCCTCCTGCCCCTGGTGAAGCGAGCCAGGGGCCGGGTCGTCAATGTAGCCAGCGTGATGGGCCGCCTGTCCGTCTTCGGAGGGGGCTACTGCCCTTCTAAGTACGGCGTGGAGGCGTTCTCCGACAGCCTCCGGTGAGTCATCCGTGGGCACGGCCTCAGTGTCCCCCCGTCTTTGGACACCCCCCCCACATACACACTCACCCTGGCACACTGAGTCATCGGGCCAATCAGTGAATGTGCACATGGAAGTACTCCTGGCCGCACGCAAAGAACACGGACCTGAGGCCCGGCGCAGACGTGACACGTGTGTATTGATGCACAAAATGCACCTGCGTGTTGTCTCCCTCTCGTGGCTGGGTGAGGATTCGTTCCGTCACCCTGGGCTCTTAAAAACGTGCCCATTGTGGGCAGGTTAGCGGCCTCCCACCAGCGAGGAAGGGACTCTGGCACCCTGCCTAGCCCTGGTGAGTCAGGGTAGGGAAGGAAAGGGGAAACAGAAGCAAAGTTGGTGACTGTAGGCGAAGGGTGTGTCTCCCTCCGGCCAGCTGGCCTGTTGGCCCGGAGCAGGACTTCATGCCTTCTCGTTCGGGCTGCCGTGCGCGTCCGAAAGGTAGGGTTGTGGAGTGATTCCCGGGCGTGGCGGCGCCCCAGCTGGCCGCATGTAACGTCACGGTGCCTCGGCTCTCCGAGAGCTGCAGATCCACACCCGGCTCGCTGCGCAGAGAGCCTCAACGGAGACTTTTCTTTGTCCATGTGCCCGCTGCGAGGGCCTTGTCTCTACTGGAGCGCTGCTGGTGTTTATGTCCCTCAGGCGTTACACCAAGTGCTTCCAGCCGGTTTCAACACCCCCACTCTAAGCTGCCCTTTTCCTGAAGCCGGAGCACACGGAGGGGGGAGGGCGCCGGACTAACAAAGCTGGTTTGAATTCAGACCCCAAATTATACGGGTGTGACTTTCCTGGGTGCGTCCGGCCCCGGGCGTGTGTCTGGGGCGCCATTTCCAAACCAGCATCTGAAAGGCCGACCCTACGTATGAACCAGCTTCTGGGAGCAACTCGGGATGTAAAAAAACGGTTAATAATGCAACTGCTGTAGAGCCAGCGGCCTGGGGCAGCAGCCGGCTGCCTGGGAGTGGAGCTAGGAACTGGCGTGTAACTGTAACAGAAACCGATACGCTGGTGCTTATGGGTTGGCCGTTTAAATGGTCCGTTTCAAAACGCAGCATGAAAGGGAAGCTGGAATTTCATTTCCAAGTGTGATACCCACAATAGAGGTTTAAACAAAGACCTTATTGGGATCACCCGCTACATTCCACAGCCTAATGACATAAAAAGCCCAGCACCAGGTACTTAAAAGTACCTCTCGATCAGCTTCATTTAGCACGGTCGCTCTAACTGACGATTCCTTTCCCATTTTCTCTCCTTTCCTTCCCCGTCTCTTCTCTTTCTCTGCTCTTGATTTGGAACCTAGACCCCTTTAACTCCAGTCATCTGAAGAAGTGGGCTGTACCCACGGGAGTCCATCATACTGTCTATGGTGCGGCAGGACTATTCATCGTGGCTTTAAGTTTTTCCATCCCTATTAACGACCCTGTCCTGGGGTCAATCCATACCCCGTAGCCACAGGAGCAGGGATGCAGGAGGGGAGAGGAAGTCTCCTTGACTAGGACCCAAGCCGTCCTTCCCCACCTGGGCTCATCCCAGGACGAAGGCCACAGCTCTGCTCCCAGTGGCAGGAAACCCTGCTAGCGTAGGTTCAATTCCCAGCAACTCTCGGTAGTATAGCTTATACCGGCCTGCAAAAAAAGCTGCACCGGCCAAAGCACATGGATGCTGGTCTCACCCGTCTCCCTGATGTGGCTAGCCTGGTGCACGGGTCTGGTTTCAAGCTGGCCCGGGTCCCAGGAAGGTCTCGGAGCTGCCAAGCAGCATGTGAGATGCTTCCGCAGCCTGACGGCCTTTTCCCAGGCCACTTTGGAAGAGCTCCGTGCCAACGGGAAAGCTTGGCCCTCTCATGACCAATGCAAGAGAGGAACCCTTCCCCGCCCTGTCTCGCCTGTGTCCTGTGACCGGACCGGCACCAGCTCCGGAAGCCAGTTTGATCCTGCAGAGGGAGGCCATCGGGAAAGCAGAGCCCAGCTTACCCAAAAGAGCCAATTCTGGGGACCAGACTCCTTCGCACCCGGGCCGTTATGTTGGTCACAAAGACCTACCAGAAAAGTTTCCCCATAGGGGAAGGGGCCGGGCAGACGGAACCACATGTGGAGGGATTCAGGAATAACTCCTCTGCGTTTCATTGGCATCTACCTCACTCCACATTAACGTCCGAGTGTAGACAACCCCCAAAGCACCTTTATCCCTGTGCAGCTGTGTCTGCGGGGGTGGTAGGAGCCACCAGACGTGGCTTCCCGGGTCCAAGATGCATGTTTCAGGCCCCGTCCTGGGCCCCGGGGAGGGGCTGGACCCCCTCCCGGTTAACCCTGCGTCCTCCGGTTTCAGGCGGGAGATGCTGCCCTTCGGGGTGAAGGTGTGTATGATCGAGCCAGGCTATTTCCGCACCGCGATCACCAACGCCAAGCTTGTCACGGAGAACTTCACTCGCCTCTGGGAGCAGCTTCCGGAGGAAACCAAAGCGAGTTACGGGGAGATTTTCTTGCAAGGCTGTGAGTACGGCTCCCATCTTCCCCAGCAGCCGGCAGCTAAAACATACCCTTCCCTACTCCCCAGCCTGCATGGCAGCAGAGCCCCCTGTAACACTGAGGCTACGTCTACACTGCATGCAAATGAGGCATGGATTAGCATATTGCCACGTCTCATTTGCATAATTTATGCACTTTTTTTTTTTTTGCGCAAAACCCCCAGTTTTCTGCAAGATCCTTATGCCTCATAAGGGTCTTCCAGGAAAAGGGGTTTTTGTGCCCAAAAAAAAAGTCCACACTACTTTTTTTTCTGCAAAAACCCTTTGCACAAAAATGGTGTGCATAAAATATGCAAATGAGGTGCATTGAGATGCTAATCCACGCCTCATTTGCATACTCACTGCTGGCAAAACCGGCAGTGTAGACGAAGCCTATGAGGGTCAAATCAGGGCGAGTTGCTTCGAGACCGGGATTTAGAGATCCTTTAGGATCTACAATCTAACGATTGACTAATGAACGCAAAGAAGGAATGGATGGGAACTGAAATTGTTAAAGGAATCACGGTACATACGCCAGTAGTATAGGTCTCGGTGCAGGCTTGTGGCAGAGATGGGTGAATCCGATGGCTTAAAACAAGTCTCTGGAATACATCCTCTGGGAGGATGGGTCTGTCATGGCTTCTTCCCCACTCTGGCATGATAAATGCAGAAGTGGGGGCCAGCAAGAGTACCCCAAAGCCTTATCTACCAGGCTTTGGTATAAAACTTCCCCCCAAGATCTTAAAAACCTAGATCTTGGGAATAAAACTTCCGCTGCCGCCACCCAAATGTTGATAAAGAAATCAGGGGAAAGATCATTTGGGAAATCTTACCCCTAAAGCAAAAATCAGGGCACACCATTAACCACTGCCAGGTTAATAAAAAGAAAAGAAAGAACTTTTATTATTACAACAATATTCCGGTTGCAAGTATAATGACTAGAGAGGAAGGTAACAAAATATACTCATGGAGAAACTCCGTGGGCCTAGAACTTAGTTACAAAGAAAAGCCAAAACATCTTTTAAGCAGTGCCAGATCTCAGATCCCATACCCAATCCTTAAAACAATAAAACCTAACGAAACTGCCTAACCCTTACCCTAAACCTTACCCTACTTACAGAAAATGAAGAATGGTGTCTTGGAGAGAGAGAGAGACATGCTTGTCCCTCTCTGTAGCTGCAGAGAACTCCCTCAGAGACAAAAGGGAGAAAAAGAAAAAACCCAAATTCCTTTGTCCCAGTTTGAAAAGTCCCACCTACATTCCTATTGGTCACTCCACCTGGCTAGGTGTAGTTAACCCCTTAATCCCCAGGCTGCTGGCTAACCCTCATAATCATGACAGGGTCCTCAGCCCTTCCAGGCGTCCATTGCTAGCAGAGATCCTTCCGTGGGGATTCGCCAGGTTGAAGTCCAAATGGAGGAGCCCTCAGAGCCTTGTTGATGGGAATCCCATTGTTCCGGCTGTGGGAAAGCATGTCCCAAGCCGGGGTTTGTCACATGAGCAAGTCTCGTGTCCAGGCAGGACTCAGCGCTAGCTAGGCAGCCGCCGTCCCTCACGTGCTGGCCTAACGTTCGCAGCAAAGCTCCTCGGATGTGCATTGCCCCCCCAATGTGCATTGTCAGTCAAGAGCTGCTATTCCCTTGACCAACAGTCTTCTCACAATAGGCTGGCCAAGCCTTCTGTTGTTGTGGGGGAGGTCTAGGCTGGAGATTAGGAAAAACTATTGCCCTAGGTGGGAGGGAAGCACTGGGATGGGGTCCCTAGGGAGGGGGTGGAATCTCCATCCCTAGAAGTGTTTAAGTCCTGGCTGGACAAAGCCCTGGCTGGGATGATTGAGTTGAGGTTGGTCCTGCTTTGGGCAGGGGGCTGGACTTGACTCCTGAGATCTCTGCCTGCCCGGGATTCTAGGATTTCTATGATGGCTCCCAGAAGCAAATATTTGAACGACAAGTACAGAGTCCACACTCCTAACTTCAGATCATGTTTGTATGTTCCTCTCCCAATCCAAACCCGTCGCCCCGCCTTCGTGTCACAGCACACGGGGCAGCTACCAGGCCAGAGTCTCAGCTGCTGTGCATTGTCCCAGAGCGGTTTTGCACCCCCACCTTGCACTCGTGCAAGTGACACCACGCTGTGCACGCTGTGACGGTTCGTTCCTGTGTCCGGGCGGCCACTTAGGCCTTGTGCAGGGAGGTAGTTGGGTGGTTTTGTTCCAGTCCTGGTAGCTCAGCCCCGCTGGCTGACGTGGATTGAAAAGCCCGTTGGTAAACGGGAATGCACCATTCTGAGAGGTTTGGACGTGCGTGTGGGTAGGGTTGCCAAGTGTCCGGTATTGAACCGGACAGTTTGATATTTTCGCCTCCTGTCTGGTAAAAAAAATTCAGAAAATACCGGACACCTAAAATGCACCTAGGGCCAGGCACAGACCACAGCACGGCCGAAAGCTTCATGGAGCTGGGCGCCCAGGTGACTTAGGCACCAAATTCCCCTCGCTGCTTTTGAACACTCCAGGGCTGTGTCTAGACTGGAAAATCAGCCGCTTTTCCAGAAAAACTTGCCAGCTGTCTACACTGGCCGCTTGAATTTCCGCAAAAGCACTGACTTCCGACTGTAAGCAATCAGTGCTGCTTGCGGAAATACTATTCTGCTCCCGTTCAGGCAAAAGTCCCTTTGCGCAAAACTTTTGTACAAAAGGGCCAGTGTAGACAGCTCAGATTTGTTTTCCGCAAAAAAGCCCCGTTCGCAAAAATAGCCAATCTAGACGCTCTGTTCCGAAAATGCTTTTAATGGAAAACTTTTCCGTTAAAAGCATTTCCGGAAAATCATGCCAAGCTAGATGCAGCCCAGGAGGTTGTCCCCAGCCACCAGCCCTTTGCAGATCTGGCCCCTGGCACCAGTCGCTCGGCTGGTGCCCCTCCCCCCCCAGGAGACCTGTTTCCAAATCCAGCTGCAGGTCTCCCAGTGCTGGCAGCCGGTGTGAAGTTGGTCTCATGGTCTGTCCGCCTCCGTTGGCCTCTCGGTCCAGCGCTGGTTGGTTCTACCCCCAGCGTGGCCTGACTGTGCTTTTGCCCACGCAGTTATCAGTAGCACCCACGACATGCAGAAAGCCTGCAACACCGACCTGTCCATCGTGACCGGCTGCATGACGCACGCGCTGACAGCCCGTCACCCCCGCACCCGCTACTCGGCTGGCTGGGACGCCAAGCTGATCTACCTCCCGCTGAGTTACCTGCCCACCTCCTTCGCCGACTTCGTGCTGTCGTGGTCCTACCCGCCTGTGGCCCAGAAAGCCACGTAGGCGCATGTGGCGGGGCTCCGCACAGCGCCCGGAGAAGGGTGCGTAAAAGTAGAAAGTTATATTGTACGAGAAAGATGAATTATATTGTAATAATTGAATAAGTTGGAGGAATACTGTTTGTCTCCGAACAGGAAAGAGATGATTATGTTTGTAGGTATGCGGATCAGAATGAAACCAGGTGTCCCTGGGATGACAGGAAAAGGAACATTAGGTGTTAGGTAGAAAGTAATTGAGGTAGCCAGAGAGATATGGACAGGAGCTTGCTGTGTGCTTGATGTGGAAATGAAGATACTTGACTAGTCTCATCCTGATCATGTGAAGTTTTGCCACCTTTTAATCTTGTTAAGTTGCCTTTCTTCTGACTGTATAAATCAAAGGGGTTTGAGCCTTGTATGGGACTCACATTTTCTGGGCGTATTAGCAGAGCGGCTTTGATAATCAACAGAGCGGTCTGACACATCTGTGAATCCTGCGTGTCTGACTTTGACACGTGGCTGCCACGCGGGGCCGGAATTCCTGGCGGGTGGGAGACGTGTCTCCTGGCATGGGACTGCCTGCTGGCTCTGCAAATCACTTCTTAATTACAGGGGAGACATGTGTCTCCTGGCATGGGACTGCCTGTTGGCTCTGCAAATCACTTCTTAATTACAAGGGTTTAATCAACGCCAAGCGCATCGGAGATCTGTCCTGGCTCTGTGGAACCAGTTGGCTGCACCGGCATCCCCGCTTCTGTGTGCCCAGGCCTGGAATATGGTTTCCTAACCCAGCACGTAACAGATCCTGTCAGAATCACCACGAATCTCCCCATGTCTTCAGCCATTCCTGAGGCCCTTGCGAGACGTTATTAGCTGCTGGTGCATCCCTGTGTCGGGAGACCCAGCTGCCACATTTCTAGCTGAGGAAGCAGCCTGTCTAAATCCAAAGGCCCCAGAACTCACAGCCAGCCAGCCTCCATCTCCGGCAGACAAATTCCTACGTAGCCACTGCCACTGCTTGTTGTGGGACCACAGGCTGGGCCCTGCACAGATGCTGAGTTGCACCCTGCACCGACACGTGGGCCTGCTAAACAGAGCCTGCTGACAGAGGGTGGGAGAAATGAAAAATGACTGTGCCCATTTTACAGACGGGACACTGAGGCGTCTGGGTTCAGTGGCTGAAATCCAGCGAGAGCCCGCCTTTGTGGGGAAGTCCTAAACTCTTTGCTTGTGGAATCTCCATCCCTGGAGATATTTAAGAGCAGGTTAGACAGACATCTATCAGGGATGGTCCAGAGCAGTGTTTCTTAAACTTTTTGAGACCCAGGAACACCAAACAATAATTTTTTTTATGCGGAACACCAAGGATTTTTGGTTGAGCAAAAAAAAAAAAAAGGTCGCCTTCCCCTTTAAGGGTGGCCATTTTGAATTCTGTTCTCCGCGGCACACCTCCGACTATCTGGCGGCACGCCGGTGAGCCACAGAAACACTAGTCTAGAGACAGTGCTCGAGGTCTGGACTCAATGACCTCACAGGGTCCCTTCCAGTTCTAGGATGCTGTGGTTCGAGAATTCTATGACAGCTTCTCATACAAACTCTTTGCCTCTCCCCTCCACATACACACCCCTGGGCGTTTTCTTTTTTTTTTTTAATAAATCTGAGAGCCCTCCCTACTGGAAGCTGCAGGGCGGGGTTTATTCCGTGTGAGAGGACTGCTGGAGAGGATGCACCGTGGGGAGGACCGACTCAGGTGGCGGAGAGCAAATGATGCTCCGTCGCGTCACTCGAGCGGGTTTGTAATGCCAAGTGTCCTAAAAGTACATTTCGGGATAAAGAAGAGCCTTGAATGCCGGTTGGTCAGGGTGAAATTCACCAGCGGTAATTTCACCGGCTGTAGCTTAGGGATTGATTACAGTCCAGTGTAGCATAGGAACAAAGTCAATAAAGCCCAGAGGCCCGGCCCCAGCACCGCGTCGCTGTGGGTCTGGTTGGTGTTTGCGGGGTGCCTTACGGCCGCTGGGCGAGGTGCGGGATGAGCCAGGCGATAGCTTGTCTTGGGCCAGCATCCGTAAGGGAAAGCCAGGAACAATGTGTGAGCTGCCCCTCAGTAGCTCCGGCAGAGCCCCCGCCCTCTCCCCGTGACTGGCAGGGCTCTCACCCGCCTCCCTGGGAACCGGCAGGGTGCAATCAGGCCGCAGGAGAGATGCACGAGAAAGCAAAGAGGCGCCGGGCCGGGTGAAACGGACACGACGCAAAACCAAAGGGAAAAGAAAAGTTAAAAAAGATTTGACAAGGTAAGTGGGGAGGGTTAGGGTTAGGGGGGACCCAGAGGGGGGGAGCCCCACCCAGAGCCCTACTGGGCTACAGTATGGAAACTGTCTCCACTTGGAGAGCGATGGAGACCCCCCCCTACTCCCATAGAGACTGCTGGAGACACCCCCTCCCCCATAGAGGGCGATGGAGACACCCCAAAAGTTAAAAAAGATTTGACAAGGTAAGTGGGGAGGGTTAGGGTTAGGGGGGACCCAGAGGGGGGGAGCCCCACCCAGAGCCCTACTGGGCTACAGTATGGAAACTGTCTCCACTTGGAGAGCGATGGAGACCCCCCCCTACTCCCATAGAGACTGCTGGAGACACCCCCTCCCCCATAGAGGGCGATGGAGACACCCCGCAGGCAGAATCTGGAGTCCCCCAGCTGGGCCTGATCCCGGTCCCCCTGCACCCAACCCCAACCTGGGGAGAGTAAGTGAGGCTAGGGGCGAGCAAGGGACAGAGGGAGGGGGGGTGGAGTGAGCAGGGGCGGGGCTTCAGAGCAGGGGCGGGGCCCCGGCTTCAGGGGCAGGGTGGAGCAGGGG